TATAATTAAATTAAATCATTCGGAAATTATTACAAAATAAAAATAGAATAAAATAAAATTAAAAATAAATAATAGATGAAATAAATAACTAAAAATAAATAATGAATACTAAAAATAATAAATAAATAAAATAAATAATATAAATAATATAAAAATAATATATAAATTATTACTCCGGATTTTCAGGGTTATTGATCAGCGAATTAAGGTCCAATTCGCATTCCGGTGACAGTATTCTCCTGAAATATCTTTATTGATTGTTAATATATTTATTTAATATTTAATATATATTTTATTGTCTATATTTAATCATACTACATATGTGAACTCAATAAGTCAGTCATGTGGGGGTGAGCTCATATGACTGACTTATTGAGTAAACTGACTTATTGAATTAAATCACCTAAATATTAAGAAAATGGGTGAAAATTTTGACTGACTTATCAAGTAAACTGACTTGTCAAGTGACTGACTTATTGAGTTTACATATGTATAAATATTTAAAGAATTAAGTAAAAAGAAAATACTTGTAATTTATAAAAAAATGCATTTAATAATGAATAATGCTGTGGGCGAATTAGTACATTCACCAATTACCCATCTGGAATTAGGTGAAATTAATTTCGCCTTTGATGATTGGCTAAAATCACAGTTCTGTGATAAAGAAGCTCTCTTATTGGCTGTTAGTTGTGTAATAAATATATATCACCATTGCATAAATAATAAGTAGTAAATAGAGTTAGCAATGAAACTATTTTGGAGGAGAAATGAAAGTCGAAACTTAAAAACTTGTTTCTGCTTAAACAAACTAATTTTATACAAGGTTAACAATATGACAAGAGTTTACAAACTTTTTTATTGGTTATTTCATTTAATAATATTTATGACACACTGATAAATCACATATTTGGACTTATTTTGCCATTTCAGAAATAAATGCTAAAAATCCAAAATATTTTGGAACTAAAAATTGGATTTTGCCCACAGCATTAATAATGAACATATCCTTAAAAAATCAACAAATTTTATTTATTGAATTAAATTTATATTCTTAAAACATAACCTTTACCAATTCTTTATTTCATTAATAGCATCCAATAATGTTGACAATAAGCTTTCTTGATCATTTATATTTACATCTGCTTCATTTTCTTCATCATAATCATCTACATTAAGATCATTCATTGCTCAAGTGTATTGAATTATTTACAATGCGAGATACAACTGTGTGAATGTCCAATCAAAATTAAGAGTAGAAAATTTTATTGATCATTTTTAACCAATCATAAAGAACTTCTTGCTATGTTATTCAACCAGGACATTGGTTGCTATAATAAGTTTATTAGATTAGAAATTAATAAATTTAATTCTAAATAAGCAGAGTGCAAAAATGAAAATATCAGGTAGTTTTTAGCCTAAAGCTTTGAACAGTTCTCAGTTTGAACCAAATTGTTCAGAGCTTTACAATTACAGTGGTAACACAAAAACTTTGTAGCACAAAAGTTCACTTTGGTTGCATGTTTGTTTTTTTTTAATTTTATAAAAATATACAACAGTTTTATTAGCTGTTTGAAAAAGCTTGGGGCTTTTCCTGGGACTTTAAGTCCCAGGACCAAACTGATTAACATCTCTATTTTTAGTGTGTAACAAATTAAGTCACATTTTAGTGACTTTACAGTGTGGATCATCTATACTCAAAAGTTAAAATTTTTGAAATATTATGTGAACCACACATTGGATTTTAAAAAACCCACCACCATTCAATTCAGCTTTAAAAGGGGAGTCTATTAATCTAAAAAAAAAATTTGTCTCAAATTTCTTTTCATAGATTTTTTAAATTTGAAAGTTATGCTCAGAAGTGTAACAATAATTTTCGTGTTACAATATTTTGAATCTCACAACCAAATTTGGTAATGATTTTTTTTTAATGTAATTTGATCATCAAACATATGTTACATCAGCATAGATAAAAATCCTATCATTGGCTGTTATTGTATCACAAAAATTAAGTGAGATCAACCAATGAAAAATTG